CACTCCAAAAATAGAAGGGGGCCACATAGGAGTAAAGGCCCATTTTCATTTTTCCCTATTTCATGGGTGGTAATAGCCAAAAAAAAGTTTCATCACCAAGTGGCCAGCCTACTAGTGATGTAACTTTCCATGATTAATTAATCATTGGTAGTCCTCAGAAAATAGATTTGATCTTTTGGGGAGGGGGAGGGTTGTTGGGAAAGATAATGAAAGGCTTCAAAGAGAAGTGGTTCCTGAGCTAAGCCTTGAAGAAAGAGGATTCCAAGGAGTATATTCTAAATGCAAGAGAAAAAACATATGGGAAAGAGAATGACATATTGAGTTCTAGCAAAATCTAGTAGATTCATTTGAATGGAATGCAGATAACATGAAGAAGAGTAAAATGAAATAACTATGGAAAAGAAGACAGAAGCCAGATTGTGGCGAGCTACATTTAAATTATAGTCTTGGAGAAGAACTCAAAGCTATCAATAGTCATATGAAAATATGCTCTAAATCACGATTAATTAGAGAAATGCAAATTAAAACAACTCGAGGTACCACCTCACACTTATCAGATAGGCTAACATGACAGAAAAGGAAAATAACAAATGCGGAAGGGAATACGGGGAAAATAGGGATACTAATGCACTGCTGGTAGAATTATGAACTGGTCCAACTATTCTGGAGAACAACTTGGAACTATACGCACAAGGCTATACCCACAAGACTATACCCTTTGTGCATACCCTTTGACACAATAATACTACTACTAGGTTTGCAATCCAAAAAGATCAAAGAAAAGGGGAAAGGACCTAGATGTACAAAAATATTTATACCAGCTTTCTTTGTGTGGTGGCAAAGAACTGAAAATTGAGGGGATGCCTATCATTTGGGGAATGGCTGAATAAACTGTGGTAATGATTGTGATGGAATACTATTGTGCTATAAGAAATAACGAGCAGGATGGTTTCATAAAAACTTGGGAAGTCTTATATGAACTGATGCAAAGTGAAGTGAGCAGAACCAAGAGAACATCATACACAGTGACAGCAATACTATAACAATGATCAACCACAAAAGAAGTAGCTACTCTGATCCAGACAATAAGCCATGATAATTCCAAAGGACCCCAGATGAATACTGCTATCTACCTCCAGAGCAACACTCCTGAGTGGCATTAAAATGTAATTGGGAAATACTTAACAAAACTCTGAGTGCAGATTGAAGCATGCTTTTTTCACTTAAAAAAAAAAAAAACTACCACCAGAGAAGTCTGGATTTTATCCTAGAAGCAAAAAGTAAGAACACAGATGTGTTATGGTCAAACACATTCTTGAGAAGATGATTTTGGCACTATGTAGAAGGGAGAGAGTGGAAGGAGGGAGACCCATTAAGAACTAATGCAATAAGCCAAAATAAGGTAATAAAGGCTCAGTATAGTGGCTATGTGAATGAAGAGGAGACAGCTGCAAGAGGTGTTGTGATTCAATTTGGGAGGGAGGAAGGGGAAACAGACTTTGAGGGCTCTAAAGTTGCCAACCCAGCTAACTAGAAATATAAGATAATCAATCTGGAGCTGGGAAGCACTTAAAAAGCCATGTCTTTCAACAAATCACTCGCTTTACAGATGAGGAAAGTGAGGGCCAGGCAGGTTAAATGATGTGTCCAGTTACACTGGTAGTGTCAGAAGTAGGATCTGAACCCAGATCTTCTGACTCTAGAGCCAGTGGTCTTTTCACTGTGTCACACTGATGTGGCCTCTCCAACTCACCCACCCATTCCCATGCCCCAAGAAATAGGGAAATTTAGACAAGGAATTGTTCTAGAAGGAAAAAAGAATGAGTTCCATTTTGGACATGTTGAGTTTGAGATGCCTATGGTACATCAGTTTGTACGTGTCATATGCAGGTCTCAAGTTTGAGAGAGATATTAGAGATGGATACATATAAAGAGAAATTTTAGGAGTCATCAGCCACAGGAATGAATCATCAAATGAAATCATCAAGAGAGACAATGTTGAGAGAGAAGAAAAGAGGCCCAAGGTAGCCTGGGACAGGGGGAGAAATACCCTCATGCTTAGGGTGGCAGGAAATGGAAGATGATCCAACAGAGGAAAATAATGATTAGTCGGAGAAAGAAAGAAAATTGAGAGAAAACCATGTTATTTATGTCTAAGGAAGACATACATATCCAAGGAAAGGTCAAGTAGATGTTGAAGTGATAACATTAATAAGACTTGCTACCTAATTGGTTAGTGGTAGGGAAGATGGAAAAGGGAAGGGTCTATGATCACTCTGAGGTTGTAAATCTGAAAGACTATAAGGATGATCAACAAAAGTGGGGAAGGGTAAGAGGAAGATATGGAATTCTGTTGAGTTAGTTTGATATGCCTATAAGGCATTTTACACGATAGGCAGTTGATGATGCTAGATTGCAGTGTAGGCCCAAGGTTAGGGCTGGACAGAATAGATTTGGGGGGCATATGCTAAGAGATATTAGCTTAGTTCATAGAACCTGTTGAGAGCTGCAAGAGTGAAGATGAAAAAACAGGATGCACAAAGGAGGCCTGAGAAAGAGGATAGATGATGTTCCAGGTAGAAGGGATTGAGGAGGGGTGATAGGTAGGAAGAGAATTAGGAGAGAACACTGTCATGATAGCCTTCTGGAAATAATTCCAGAAGGAAGGAATGATCTAAGAGTATGAGGTCTAAGAAAAGTCTTTTGGATTTGGCAGTTTGGAGATAACTGATAATTACCTAAGTAGTTTCAGCTGAGTGGTGCAATCTGAAATAGGACTATAAGGGATTGAGAAGTGAGTAGATGGAAGAGGCAGTATTGGCCCCCAACACTCCAGAGTGGCATTAAAATGTAATTGGGAAATACTTAACAAAATAAATAAAATGTTGGGTTTTCTAAGTCAATATATGGCCCACAGGGATCCTTATTTATTGTTTAGTGGCCCCTATTTCTTTGAGTTTGATAACACTGGTGTTCCACTGTGGGGTCATGACCCACAGTTTAAAAAGCATTGAAGGTGCCCCGAATGGAAAAAGTTTAAGAAGCCCTAGTCTAGATGATTCTTTCTAAGAACTTGGCAATAAAAGATGGGAGAGATATAAGATAATAGTTTAAGGGAAAGCACAGTCAAGGTGGGGTTTTCTAAGGACAGGGTAGGTCTGAACATGTTTGTAGACAGTAGGTTTCCCCTCATTGGAGATAATCATCAGGCATACACTAGAAGACCATTTATACAGTACATTATAAGTAGAAATTCCTTTCCAGCTATGTGTTGGACCACAGAATGGCTGAGATCCATTCCAACTTTAAAATTCTGTGACTCTGGCTTTGGTTTCTTTCATTTCTTACTCCTGCACCATATTTTCCAACTTTTTTTTTTTTTGGCCATTCTCGTTTAGCCCACTTTAACACCAAAGTTATCAAGTATCAAATTATATGTTGTTTTACTTTGGAGGCCCTAATGGAATTCTTCATAGACTTTATCTCTCCCTCTTCTGCAACCGATGTTGCCTAATTGCTATGTTCACAGTAGACTCCTTTTGCAGTGAGGTACCAGAAAATCAAATGTTCCATGAAATGATGTTTCTTCTTGTCTTCGTATGTACAATTAAACCAATTTTCTTCTGGTTTCATCCACAGCAAAAAATGTCAAGATTGATATGATTTCAATGATATTATTTTCAAAGTATCAACAGTTGAGTTAATCTTCATAGTCTGTCTTTAAAAACTAGGTAATTCTGCCCTGTCACAGCAGAAGGGGACTTCCAAGTCTCAAGGGCCATTGTGTGTTTTTCTTTCATTCTTTTCATTCATCAGTTGTGGCAGTCAACATATTCATCGAGTGGCTACACTATTCAAGCTGTTCATCAAAAACCAGACATTCCATTCCATGCTGGGCCTGAACTTGAAGTCTTTCCAGAATGCAGGGTAGATCTTACACTCTTCTGGCATAGGTTCTGAGAACCTACAGTCACCTTCACAACATAGAGAGGTATCACAGTAGGACTTGTAATGACTCAACTCTATACATCCAGTTTTGCATTTTCAGCTGCCTGCCAGACATCTCTCTACATATACATCCCATTAGCACCTCAAAATCAGAAGTCCAAAAACGAATTCATTTTCTCCCTTCCAACTACCAAACTACCCCTCCCTTTGTTGTTGTTCAGTCGTTTTTCAGTCATGTCTGACTCTTGATGACCCCATTTGGGGTTTTCTTGGCAAAGATACTGGAGTGGT